TGCGAGGGGGGATACGGTAATGGGGGGCAAGAACTACAAGAAGGTGTGGGGGGGAATACAGTAATGGGGGGCAAGAACTAAAAGAAGGTAATAGGGGTCAAGAACTAAAAGGAGGGGATAGGGTTATGGGGGCAACAGGGGGGATAGAGGATTATGGGAGCAAGAACGTAAGGGGGGAGATAGGTTAATGGGGGGGAAGAACTACGGTAGATAGGGGGAAACTGGGGGGTTATGAGGGGAAGAACTACCAGAGGGAGTGGGGGAGGGGTGACTGCAAGAAGGTGAGGGGGATGGAGGCAAAAACGACAAGAAATTAAGGATGATCGGGGACAACCATTGGGACATATGGTTATGGGGAAGAATAATTACAATAAGTTGGGGGGGGGATTGTGGTACAAGGGGAATGGGGTATATGAAGGTGGTGGTACAATGGGGGAAACTGGTGTTTGGACGGGAGGACTACAAGAAGTGAGAAGGATGGGGGGAAATAGGGTGATATGTGATGGCGAGGAAAGAACTACATGAGGGGGAAGAGGGGTACGGGGGAGGGAGGACCGCAAGAACCTACAAGAAGGTGAGGTCATACAGGAGGTTATGAATGGCAGAAAAGGGGCAAATGGGGGTCTGGCTGGACAAGAACTGCAAGAAGCTGAGTGGGTTTGTGGTACAGGTTGGGGGACAACAACTACAAGAAGGTGAAAACAAAGGGGGGTGCGGGGCAAAATGGGATAAATTGGTGTATGGGGCAAACTGCTGGTAAATTGGATTTGAAGGGGAAGACATGGGGACATAGGTGTGCAGACTTTGGGCACATATGTATACGGCGCGTTAGGCTTTGGGGAAATGGAAGCACCTTGGGGGTCTGAAGAAGAAGGTCCTGGATTGCAAGGTGCAGGGTGAATGAAGCAGACTGGGGGGCATTGGTGAGGGGGCGAGCTGGTAAATGGGGGCACAGAGAAACTAGGTGGGGGTATGGAGTGGGCATACTGGGGGAATTAGTGGGGAAGATTACTGAGGGTCTAAGTAGGCTGCAGTCCCAGTTATACTGTACTTGTTTGGCTGTAAAAATATTTATGTAGTGCGAGATATGGGAGGGATAATCCGTTCACTCAATACCAGTTTTTAGTGAATTGAGACTGCATTGAAAAAATTAGCATGCTGCATCTATAGCTGAATTGGCAATTTTTTTTTTTACTAGATTTTGTAATCCATTTTTTTTTTAGTGAATAAACCCCATTGTTTCACATGCAGATGTTCTGAGGGTGCACACATTGCACAAGGCTACTACACTGACCATGAGACCATTATCCCTTCCAAAACAAAATGAACAGAGCCTCACCAGTTCTATAGGGGAATGTAGTTTATGTACAAGGTGGTTTGGAAGAGCTTAGTACCTGGTAAAGATGCTGATGTACCAGAGTAGACAGAAAAACAAGCTGGTAACTAAGCTGTACCGTGTATTTAGATATTATCTGCAGAGAACCATGCAGGGCTAATTTAGTTTTTTTTTTTTTTTTAACTGTATGAGACCTATCCTGATTCTATGGAAAGGCTATCGTGGGCTGAAAGATGATATTCTTTGGTAGAACATCAATGTGGATATATACAGGGGCCTGGCTAAAAACGGTAAACTAATCCAGGGTTTCTTTAATAGGAGTACAATCAGACCCCCTGTCAGTGACCATAAAATATCCATTGGCTAGGGATGTTAAATATCTCCTGCGCCCACTACCACTCCCTAATATTAGGAGTAGCGGAGAGCCTTAATTGGCTGCGGTTGATGTTTGGGATAAACGTCCCATGAATTATCATACAGTGGATTTTATAGCTGCTTTTGGACTGGTGGGGTGTTGCTTTAGTACTGCTTCTGTTTTTTTGTTTTTTTTTTATGTTTTGTTTTTTTTACCAGTGATGAGATTGGTTGTGACTGGGTTTCTGCTCATGGAGCTCTCCCATTGAAAGCAATGAGGGAGCTGTGCATGTTTGTGTATTCTTATTGCTCAAGGCTTTAGATGGTGAATACTGTAGCGTTGGTTTGTCCTGCAGACATGCTTATTGTGTAGCTAAGGAGAGCAGTCTCTGCCTCTTCTTACTGGTTTAGCCTTCACCCTACTCTTTATATAAACATTTACTTGGTTCCATATGTACTTTTATTTTTTTGTAAGCATCTTGTTATTGGTCTTGTGAATTCGGTGTTCTTGTGAAATGGATACTGTATGGTATGTGTTAGAAAACATTTCTTTCCATATAACCTTTGCTGGGTTTGTGTGGTTTGTGTTGTGTAGTACATCTCTGGGTATAGTTTGGTGGCGTGGTGGGTGCTGATGAGCCAGCACGTCTGGTTAGAGCTCCTTGCCTTGAATCAGCTCCGAGGTTAAGACTAAATAAACACCCCATCCAGTGAACAGACCCTCACATTGCTGAATGAGACAGGAAGCTGGGATTCTGTCTTTTGTCAAATGTGTTTTATACTCCTCTTGGGGTTTGTTTTTTTTATTTCTTTTATGCAGTCACTCAAAAATACACACACATTGTACATTTTGCACCACATTCTAGTACTTTGGGCCTCTTTTACTGTACATAGTCACATCTAGTGTGTCAGGTGTAAATCAATTGCATTATCACTTTGCTATACATTCAGTCGTGTGTCTCTCGCAGGAGGTGACTGGTTTTGTTAACAATATCGAACATAAACTGAAGGAAGAACAAAAACATAATGAAAAACATGAGTCTGCCACAGTGACCTTATATTTGCAGCTAGTTTTCTGGTAGCAACATTGTGATGTTCGAAAAGGGAGAGAGGAAAAATGAAGCTCATTGAGAAGTGAAGAGGAAATTAATAAAATTAGTGTTTCCCTTTAGGGTATAGGATAAAGTAGATTCAAATATAGTACCGTGATTGGGGAGAAAACAGTGTCCTCCTCCTCCTGCCCTCCTTAGGGTTGACCATAATACTCCCATGTTGTATGGTAGGATCCCATTGACTTACAGATTTGGTCAGTCCGTTTATCCATAATGTACGTTTTTTATTTTGGATATTACCACTTCCATAAAGTGCAGTTATCCTGATATTCAGAAGTTGAATATACAGAGAAAAAAAGAGGGAATGAGACAGAAGGGAATAGCTCTGAAACTGGAATAAAAAGGGAATTCACCAAAACATTTAAGAGTAATGTAAAATACACCATATAATATAGTGTAGAGTATCCAGGAGCTAGTTAGTAAATAGGATACAGAATATATATATTAAAAACGTTATAGAACACTTTGGTGTCAAAAAGAATGAATATGTACGGTGTAGGTATCCCTAACCCTGATTGTGGAAGAAACACGGGGTAAATGGTACCAGTTCCAAATTATATAGTTTTATAAGGATAAATGATCAAAATAATGTCCACATGAAATAAAACCACTTCCATGTTTGGGACGTCTGCTTGTAACCACGTTTGACTCCAGGATCATCTAGCTGTGGTGATTTTGTTGATTAAATGTTTTTCACCCAACTGAAAGCTTTCCATAGGTTTTGATAACAAGAAGAAACTCCTTGTTTTCAATAGTTTTTGTATTTTTATATTGGTTAATGGCTGTTGTGTAGGAGTTTGGGAGACTGAGAGGGGTAATGAATGGCTGAGGTAGGAGTTAGGGAGGGGTAATGAATGGCTGGGGTAGGAGTTTGGGAACATGGCTGAGAGGGATAATGAATGTGTCTGAGGTAGGAGTTAGGGAGGGATAATGAATGGCTGGGGTAGGAGTTTGGGAGACTGAGAGGGCTAATGAATGACTGGGGTAGGAGTTTGGGAACATGGCTGTGAGGGGCAATGAATGGCAGGGAAACGAGTATGGGAACATGACTGAGAGGGATAATGAATGTCTGAGGTAGGAGTTTGGGAACCTGATTGAGAGGGGCAATGAATGGCAGATAAACAAGTTTAGGAACATGGCTGAGAGGGGTAAGGAATGGCTGGTGTAGGAGTTTGGGAGGCTGTGAGTGGTAGTGAATGACTGGGGTAGGAGTTTGGGAACACGGCTGTGAGGGGCAATGAATGGCAGGGAAACAAGTTTGGGAACATGACTGAGAGGGATAATGAATGGCTGGGCTAGGAGTTTGGGAGGCTGTGAAGGGTAATGAAAGGCTGGGGTAGAAGTTTGGGAGGCTGTGAAGGGTAATGAAAGGCTGGGGTAGGAGTTTGGGAACATTGCAGGGAAACAAGTTTGGGAACATGGCTGGGGTAGGAGTTTGGGAGGCTGTGAAGGGTAGTGAAAGGCTGGGGTAGGAGTTTGGGAACATTGCAGGGAAACAAGTTTGGGAACATGGCTGGGGTAGGAGTTTGGGAACATTGCAGGGAAACAAGTTTGGGAACATGGCTGGGGTAGGAGTTTGGGAACATTGCAGGGAAACAAGTTTGGGAACATGGCTGGGGTAGGAGTTTGGGAGGCTGTGAAGGGTAATGAATGGCAGGGGTAGAAGTTTGGGAGGCTGTGAAGGGTAATGAATGGCTGGGGTAGAAGTTTGGGAAGCTGGAAGGGGTAATGAATGGCTAGGGTTGGAGTTTGGGAGACTGTGAAGGACATTGTTATATCGATCACGAAGTGAGATTTAGTCTGAACAGCCCTGTTGCTAGAGCATCTTACTGAACCCCAATCTGCTCCGTAACTTCCTGTATGTTAAAGAACTTCTCTGTTTCCTTACAGTTTAACTCGTATAACCCCATCCTTCCCTCACTGTTGTTAGAGCTGTGTAAACCTTATTAGAAAGCTTTTTCACTGGCGACTCAGTCACACAGCAATCCTATTACAATACACTGTTCCTCTCCCAGCCTGGTAATAATGACTGTTTATTAACAGTCCTTGATATGCGTACTCTGCTGGATTGTGGGCGTGAAGAATGTGCAGATACTGCTCCAGTCTGAGAGCTTTTTAATCCATCATAGTTTGCTCCCTTAGTTCTCTTTTTGATAAAATATGTCTAAAGTATCAGATTCACCATATTTCGATGGTAAGTGCTACTTAAGTATTGTTCTTTGAAAAATCAGCTTGACATTTGCATAGTTTGCCAAAATCTTCTTAGATCCTCTATTTCAAAGCCTCCAGCCTCCCAGACCAGGCTAAAGCCCAAACAAACAGGCCATACAGGAGCCTGAGGACAGTGTAACGCCTGCGAACGTGGAATCACAACAGGAACATCCACAAGGCACCTGTTCTATCAGGGGTTACTTTTATACACAATTAAAATCCAGAAACATCTGAATTTAGTGACAGTTGTCATGCTGTTCATTCGGTTGCACCTATGGTATTTGTTTGATTAAAATGCCGTCTGTCTCACACCACAACAAGAGGACATGGTCTTAAATTAGAGGGACAAAGGTTTAAAAATAATATCCGGAAGTATTACTTTACTGAGAGGGTAGTGGATGCATGGAATAGCCTTCCAGCTGAAGTGGTAGAGGTTAACACAGTAAAGGAGTTTAAGCATGCGTGGGATAGGCATAAGGTTATCCTAACTATAAGAAAAGGCGAGAGACTAATGAAAGTATTTTTAAATATTGGGCAGAGTAGATGGGCCGAATGGTTCTTATCTGCCGAACATTCTATGTTTCTATCGTTACACATTGATACCTGTGTCTGGGTAGCGCACTGCTTGCTGATATCCAGGATTTATACATACTGGGCGTCCTGCTGGTGTCCGCTTTCATGCTCTTAGCTGGAAATGCAGCAATATAATTCTAGGAAATGTATATTTTCTCTGGTTCATTTAGGTCTACTAGATAATATTTGGTTTCATGGTATACTTTCGGACTTTATTTCTACGTTTGAAAAAAAATATTTTTTTTTTCATTAAGGCAGCAGTATTCCTAAATGTGCTGGGTGAAATCTCTTCCTGTACAGATAACTACTACTTGTGTTAAGTAGCTAGCTGATTATCTTTCAGACAGTTATTATATGTCCCTAACAGACAGACATCGGCTCCACTGATGGTCCCTGGTGTGTGCATGTTCTTTGTGTGTGACTTTATGGATATGCAGTGGATAAAATGCTACATTTCACTTGAGGACAAGCTGATAGGTCACTATTTAACACATTTAAAATCGTTGTAAATATCTCACTAAACATCTTTACACATCCTGTTTGGAACAGAATTAAAGGAACAAGCTAAGCATTCTGACTACTGCAGCTCACTAGTTCTAGAGAGCCCTGGGGCTGTCCACGGTTTAATTTCGAACTGTTTATGAAAATCTGCTTTTTATCAAAACGCTTGTGAACGGTTTACTAGTAAATCGGCGATGGGGCCGTGCGTTGGTTGCTTCGGGTATCTGAAAGAGTGGTTTCTATGCTGTACACCCCATTTTCTATAGTCAGGAGTTATTTTCCTGGTCTATATGGGATTGTGCTGTTAATGGCCCCTTTACTCAGTGTTAGAGTGTGTTTGATTCTTTGTCGTCCCACAAACTAATTTATCTTCTTATTGTTTCCAGTATGTTCAAGCTGATTCTCCAACAAACAAAGCATTGGCCGTGCTGATTTCCCAGCTTCTACAGTTCCAGGAGGAAGCCTTTGGAAGACAAGTAACCAACCCTGCCTTCACCAAACTGCCTGTGAGTTTCTACATAGTGACAGTCTATGATCAGAGCCTGTAATGATGTACCTGGACTGCACCTACCTGTAACAAAAATCTCATTATGGGACTGATCGCTGATTGAAATAAACGCACTGTTCCAAAGTGGGTTTGAACAGTCATTGGCAGGTGTGACCAGGGCTGGCTAAGGAAAATGTTTAAACTCCTAAAAGGCAGAGAATTGAGCAGTGAGACTGCAAGAGCATGACCTATACACCATAACCATTTTAACGCCTTAAGAACCAAGCCTGTTTTGAGCAACACGTTTGTCACCAAGGTCTTTTTAGCACTTGCCATGCGTTTTTATTCATTTGTTGTTTTTTTAAATTTAATTTATACATCTGTATTTAGATATTTAAAATTACACATTAACAACATTTTGTTCAAATACATATATTAATTACTTATTACATTCAAACATTCAAAACAATCCTAGTAGTCGTACATCATTAGTGATGTCCCGAACGGTTCGCCACGGATTCATCATTGAGTAAACTTTGACCCTGTACCTCACAGTCAGCAGACACATTCCAGCCAATCAGCAGTAGACCCTCCCTCCCAGACATCACTATACATCATTCATTCTGATGCAGGTTATTCCAAAGTGAAATCCAAGTAGTTATTAATATTTAGAAGTTGCTATTGTCTCTCAACACTCAGTTGTTCTATTGTTCCTTTTACGATCGGATTTGAAGTAATCAGAATAAAATGTTGCTTGTTATCCAGTCAAAAATATTCAAAGTGAGTATGTGTTCTAGAATCATGGATCTCTATCTCCTTCCATATATCAGGGGAAATATTTGATCCATCCCAAGCTAAACAGTGTGCAGCCATACAGGCTTTCGTGTATAGCCTTGACACCAGGAAAAGACCAGCCTCCATTCCACCCCAGGGCTTTTTATTGGCCTGTATGAAACCATAAATGGAGGATTGCAATGTATGTAGTAGCCAAGGGTTTACTTTAAATGGTATATTTGTTTTGTTAATATATCTAAATGGTGTACAAATAAAGTGGATTTTTGCAGACACACTTTTTTTTTTTTTCTCTCTAAAGATTGGTAAGTTATGTATTTTCTAATGAGTTTTTTTGGTGTGTGTGTGTAAACATCAAAGAAAATCCTTTTATGTCCTTGCAGGTAAAATGCTTCATGGATTTCAAAGCGGGAGGCGCACTGTGTCACATACTTGGGGCAGCTTACAAGCACAGAAGTGACCAAGGATGGTACGTTCTAAAATCTTCTCGAGCCCAATGATTGCTAATATGGATTAGCAGATATCATGGCTGTCCAAGTGCGGGGAAACTACAGGAGAAACAATAGGGGAAACAAGTTTTGTTTTCCTGGCACTCTAGTTTCCCTTTAGGCAATCTTAGCAGGTTTTAAGGAAAAAGACTCGTACAGTGTCTCCACCATGGAAAGCTTCATTATTTCTTTTACCTTGATTATTCCCAGGAGGAGATTCGATTTACTGAATCCATCTCGGATGGACCGCAATGTGGAAATGTTCATGAGCATTGAGAAAACATTAATGCAGGTAATTGTAGTTACAAGTGTTTAGGAGGATATAGAATAATCCATGCACTAACTTCAAGTCTACATGGGGTATAATGACCAAATATCATGTTAACATTTATTTCTGCTGTTGCATGGTGAGATCTGTTCACTAAGTGCGCACTCCTTCAAAATAAACTGTCTTCTAGAACAACTGTCTAAGCAGACCGACTGTCTACCTCACGCCGGAGATCGACCTGAAGTTGGCCAATAAACTGAAAGATATAGTGAAACGTCACCAGGTACAGCTTTTATAGCATTCTTTAGAGATGTTAATATACCTTGTTATACAAGTACATTGTTTATTTTATTTATCGTCTGTCCTTGTTCTTGCTCCTTAGGGAGCAGTGACTGAGGAGAAACAGAAGGCTTCTCATCACGTGTATCCTGTTCCTACCCCACTGGACGAAGGTAAGTGAGACACAATAAGTGGTAACACGGTGAAAGCAGGGCCTGACCAGGATTCACATTTTAAACGCTAACCCGTGAATGGACTCTGTCAGGGTTATTTACTAGAGAGAGTGTTTTACGTTTAAAACCATAATAGCCAAAATGCAAAATTCTCCCAACTTGCTTATACTTCCAGATCAGCTTCTGGCAATTCTCAATTTGGTGAATAACCCTGTGGGTCTCAGTTTCTGCAGTCTAATGAGATTAGGATTACCTCGATTTAGTATCTGTGACATAAGATCACAATGACAAAACCTTCTGAACCATTTGTAAGTGGTTCTTGCTTTTGTTGAGTTTTTTTTCTTGTGAACTTAGTCATTTGACAAATATAGGAAGGTATCCTGAGATATCTGAGATCACAGTAGTTGTTCTTTGGAACCATAAAATGAATAGAATCCACAAATCAACAGGGAACATGAGGTTTAAAACAGGTGAGACCCTCAACCCAATGTGAAGGACACATTTGCTTTGGTTCTGTCGTAGAAGTAGGTGGGAGTGTATTTTATTAGAAGAAAAAATAAATCCCTGTGGGCCAGGTAATGTTCATGTTGGTTCTTGTGTCTTAACGTTTTCTGTTTCTGTGAATTTCAGATGAGTGGTTGAGACCCGTCATGAAAAAAGACAAGCAGGTTCTTGTACACTGGGGATACTACCCAGACAGGTAAAGACGATTGTCCATATTGTGACTTTATTAATGGCTTCGGCAAAAGACAAGCTTTAAAGGACTGCCCTAAAACTGTATTTCTAACACTACAGAGTCTCTCTGACTCCGCGTTCCAGGAAAGGCTTAAATAATCCTTTAAATACTTAAATGATTTGGACCTTGGCACTTGATCATGCTCCTTCTCCCTCCCATTAGGTCTTCACCCTTAGGTAAGCATTGAGCCGGTGCTTTTCTATGGGGTTTGGCAATGCACTAAAAGTCCTCATGCACAGCATGACTACAATGACGTCCGGTGTCATTTTACTGAGTTAAACTCAATGAAATCGCAGAAAGCACCTCTAGTGGCTGTCTGGTAGACGGCCACTACAGGCAGTCTTAACAAGGCAATGTAAACATTGCAGTTTATTTGAAACATCTTTTGCGTTGCAGAGCTAAGGGGATAGTTGTCTGGGTGCCTATAGTGTCCCTTTAAATATATTTATTTTTTTATGGTATCCTTGGAGCCATTGCACTTTGTGAGGTCTTTCAGCTTGCACGTTCTATCAAATATTTGATGCCCATGCTGTGTGTATCTGTATTTGTATGTGTATATATTGCACACGCGCAGTAAATGTCATGTGTACTCTAAGCACTATACCCACAGTGGTCTGTGTGATTCCCTGGCACTGTCCTATGGCACGGAGTCAGACCATTTTGTGATGTCTGCAGTTACCAGGTTCCCTTGGGCACAGAGTTCTTTTGCCATTCTGTGATATTGCTAAAGTGCAAGTTCCCGTTTCACTAAACCAATATTATTGTCCCTTTTGGACTAAATTCATTATCCGAGAGCATAAGCTGGCGTTCTTAGTATTTTCATGAGTGGTTCACTTGTTGCTGCCCTGTACACTGAGCAAGATCATATTGGTAGATTTTTAACCTGCATCTACCTTCTTTATAGCTATGACACCTGGATTCCCTCCACTGATTTAGATGTTGAAATAGAAGATCCACCAATTCCAGAAAAACCGTGGAAGGTAAGTTAGTTGTTAGTATTTATAGTCTTCCAGTGGCTATGGCTGTTTTATAATTAGATTGTAAGTGTTATCTTAACGTTTGCAAGTTGTTTGTGCTGATGCTTCAAATCCCTCCATCCACCAAAATGTGTCTGGGGTTTTCAAATCTGTGTAAGTGTCCCTATTTCCTCACCAACTATAAATCTATAATATGTGGAATTGCTATATGTAAATGCTGTACACGTGTACAATGAGAGGAAAATGTTGAGATAATGCTTTGTTCATAAAGTGTCTGCACCTGTATGAACATGATATTAAGGTTATTTAAAACATTCTTTGTATAATAAAGGAAAACTCATTTTTATTACTTAAATATGTTGTTGTAGCCCTTTTATATTTTGTAAATATGTATAAGTTAATGAGATCCAAAGAGGGGAGCGCACACGCCTTCTAAATTAAACCACTTAGGTGCAACTAGTCAGGGTTGGCGTTACCCCTGTTCAATGTACCAATAGAGTCGCCCATGCTCTTCAAGTAGTTCAGGTGGTAATTAAAGCAAAAGGGCCTGTATTATAGAGTCCAACTGTTACTTGGACTACCACTAAAAGGCTGCTCCCTTTTGAACTACTTGGAGAGCACAGGTGACTTTCTATTAGAATATGTATGTTAATAACTTTTTCAAAGTTAATTATCTGGTTTACTAGTGCTTTGTGTGGGTGGCCATCTTTGTTTCCTGTTTTTGAAGTGCCCCTTATCTGCTAGACCATGTCCAATGCGGAGGTCTGTAACCTACCCATTATTTATGTTTGAGATATCCTGCACTTGTGTATGATGTCAGAAGGTGTCCGTGCACGCTAGTGTTTGGTCAGATAAGCGGTGCTTCCAACCAAAAGATTTTAAAAATGGCTGCGCTATAGAGCTTTGAAGGCAAGACTGAAGATACACGTGAATGATTAATTTACTTATATGAATGCATTGCAGAAGGTATATAGGCTTAGTGGAAAGAATTTGGATGTGAGATGTTTTATTGATTTGAGCTTGCTTTTTATGTCCTGTGCAGACACATTTATTTCAAGCCATGTGACCTAACATGAAAAAACTGGAGCAGGGGCAAGAAACATTTAAACTTCTGTTAATGTTTATTGATGCTGAGCTATTGATCTGCTTTAAACATTTCTCTATCTACAATCATACATTATGGACAACATATGATTTATTCTTGTTGGTTGTAGGTGCATGCAAAATGGATATTGGACACAGATATATTCAATGAGTGGATGAACGAGGAAGACTATGAGGTGGACGAGTCTAAAAAGGCAACTAATTTCCGCCAGAGGATTTCCGTAAAGAACGAAGAGGTAAAGTGGGATTTTAGAGTTTATATTATTAGCTGTGGCTTTAAAGAAATTTATGAATACTTCTTTTTTTTTTTTTTTAATGACCGTGTGTGTCCTAAAATCGCTCTCAAGTCTTTCTACCTTTTGGTGATGTGTGAATTTATTTTCCCCTCCTAAATATTTGCATATTTAGGCTGTACGAAGCCCAGAGAGGAAAGACCGAAGGTCACTTGCTGGTGCTAAGAAAAGGAAGCGCTCTCCTTCCCCACAGACGCCAGCAGAGTCCAGAAAAAAGCCAGGCAAGAAAGGGTACGTATTGATGATAAAAGGAAGTGTGTGGTACATGGACACAGATATGTATCACTGGAAGCCGCTTTTGCCACGGCTTTAGTGAATGTGTTCTTTTCAACCGTTTCCTTTTTAATGATGTAGCAGTCACCGCATAGTAAAAGAAACTCAATAGTTTGTTTTTGGATGAGCCGATAGCCCCTCCGTCTGTTACCTATTGGCCTGTGGAAATGGTTGTTCTGGGCTGGATTTGGTATGGCTCTGTAAACCGATAAAGTGAACATCCACCATAAAACTAAATCCATGAATATGCAGCACATTAAAGGGATACGGTTATTTTTTTTTTTGTATTAAACTGAGACAAAGACAATCTGTCTGAGGAGCTGCACTTTAATCACGTTTGGCAACATTGAGAAACTGCCAATACAACATCCTGTCTGTGACATTGGACGGTCCTTTATATTCACTCAGATTGTACTGCTAATCATCTGAGTTATTGTTTACATGTCATGCTGAGTGACCGGATAGGAAATAACATTAAAAAAACAAGCTTGTATATCTATAAGAAACCCACACAACCCGTTCTGTCAGGTTATGTCCTATTCTCAGATGTGACAATTCCATTTTTAATGTTGAACTTTTTATTTTTAGCCCTGGTGGTCTGTATGGGAGGAGGAGAGGACAGAGGGATGATGATGAACAAGAAGACCTGACAAAAGACATGGAGGACCCCACACCAGTCCCAAACATGGAGGAAGTCATTCTACCAAAAAATGGTAAGAGTTTTACATCCCTTAAACAGACTCTGTACACAAATACATTAATATGTATTATTTAATCCTCCAGGTCACTTCATTCTGTGGCGTTAGAGCATTTCTGTGAGAGGAGTAAAAAGCACAAAGTATTGAATCTGCCAGCCCTCCGTGGGTCTGGAGAGTAGGCATCCCCAGGGGTCAAGTTCTAATCTCCTTTGTAACACTTTAGAGCTAAGGTCTAACATTTCCCTCCAGTATCCCCTTACTTTTGGGCAGTGCCACCACATGTGTATGTAACTACCCTTTTCTTCGCAAAGACGCCAACATGTATCAGTGGGACTCAGTCTCATGTGACATTGCTTGACTAGTGTCGTGTACTACCTACATAGCGTTTTGTAGCATTGCTAGGGGATATTTGAGCTTCAATGGAATTGGGAACTGCTGGACATGTCCTACTTATGGGCCATACTACGAGGTAGATCCGCCCCCATGAGCAGGAATTCTATGTCCACCTATCTCCTATAGTCTGGGGGTGAGTTCCACTGTATAATCAAAGTCACTTTGGCCTCTAGATAGTAATGGTGCGGGAGGCCCAGTCCACCCACACACCTGGGATGATACAATAGACCACCGGGCTAGTCTGGGTTGCTTTTTCTGCCATATGAATGAGTCTGTTGCATTTTGCATACACGGTTCACTGGCAGTGACTGCAACATGAACAGTAGTTTCGGCAGGACATTCATTTTCAGAGTGCAGGCGCCCTAGCCAAGAGATGGGCTTCTCCATCCACTTCTCCAGGTCGCCCATGAGAGTGTGGAACAACTGGGTGTAATTGTCTGTAGACAGCGGCGGGGTCAGCTGTCAGGATAACTCCTAACTGCTTGAATGGTGTTGTGCGCACGTGGGGTCGGTTTGCTTACCCCTTAGCACTAGCTCTATATAGGAGCTCTGATATTTGTTTGAAGCGTTTTGGGGGCAAATTAATCTGGAAAGGTAACTATATACAATGCAAAATCATAATGAAAATGTGTTGGCCTTCAGAAAGAAAGATGAGGGTGGGGGGGTTGCCGAACCCGTGGGGATCTTAAACCGACTGGGGGGCTTGGGCCGTGGGCATTGTAGATGGAAATTATGTCTATGGGGTGCCTCTGGATTTCACTCTTAAGTTTGCTGCAGCACCTACATAGTGAAAGGAGTCGTATTGAGCCCACCCGACTGTTATAAGTGGCCCGAGCCCACAAAGCCTTGTACTGCATAAGGACTATATTTGAACCCCGATCTGAGACACTTAGCTGATTCCTAATCTCTGGGGACTCAGACAGTTCCTGGAATCAGTTCTGACGGTGATGTGCCCTTACAGGTTCGCCGGCGTCTCTCAAGCTTGGGCCTGAAGGGATTCTTGTATGGTGTACCAGTCTCTTGGTAGGGTGACAAGCTCCGGGCGGGTTGACTTGGGGAGGGTCAGCTCTGATGGTAAGCCTATGCCCAGTTTAAGGAGTAATGGGGCCAGGTCGGCCCCCAGTAGTAGTGTGGTAGTTCTCCCGTTCTGGATAGCGACCAGCTTAAAGGGATACTCCAGGCACCCAGACCACTTCTGCCCATTGGAGTGGGCTGGGTGCCAACTTCCACTACCCTTAACCCTGCAAGTGTAATTATTGCAGTTTTCATAGTCCTCTACTAGACAGCCACTAGAGGAGACTTCCGTGTTCATAGAACACGAAAAGTGTTTTAAGACTATGCTGGACATCCTCATGCTATAGGAGGACCTCCAGCGTCGCTTTAATCCCCATAGGAAATCCTTGACTTCCTGCCAGCTCCACGTTATTTCGCTGGCTAAATAGTTTGACTTCTAGAAGCTTGGTAAGTATTTGTGAGGCTTCGCTTGTTGTCACTTCAGGCGTTTCTCTGCCCGCTGTGGAAGCTGGTGAGAGGGAGCCGTGCAAACTAAGACGGTGGCCATCTTGTGCGACGTCGCGTGAGGCGGCGAATAGGTCTGCCACAGTTAAGTAGGTGTCCTTTACTACCCCTCTCTTTTTGCACGCTGGTTTTGCTCCGGAGCCCATGGTGGACATGGTGCTCCTATTTGCGGTGATTTGTGCAATCTGATGCTGCTGGTGAGTGCTAGATACAGAGTGGAGACCATATTGCTTTAAGACTTTAGGACTTTTTTTTTTTTTTTTGGTAACCGTAACCTGCGTTCACAGGGCCGTGCACAACTTACACTAAATCCAGTGCTTCCCCATGGTGCCCATTTGAGCACTTTGTGTCCTCATACAACGCGGTAGGATGACCTTATCTGATGTGGTCATTAATAAACACCCTCAGGAAGACAGCAACAAGGAGTTTGTTTAGCCTCGCAATGATAACATTGCCATATATTCATTGTGAGACAATATATGTTGGTCGTATTTCTGCAGTATGATCTCTCAGTTCTGTCTCTGAACACATGTGTATATATGTATATACTGTTATTTTTCTCTTGTTCTACCTCTGCTTTTGCTATTTCAATGCCCATCGCCTGTTCCCATATCTGTGCCCTGACTGTTTGTCTTGTTGTGTTTAGTGAATACCAAGAAGGACAGTGAGCACACACCTGTAAAAGGAGGCGTGGTGGCCGATCTAGGTGAGTGCCCAGTACGCTGACAATGCTTCTCATTTTGGGGTTTTTAAGTGGTTGTATCCCCTGACTGCCCACCTCAGACATTTTTTTTGTATCTTACTGATTATACTCCCTTCCTCGCCACTTGCCTTATCTTTTCTTCTACGTGGCAGAAGAAAATGCCTGGGTGCAGACCTTTTTACTTCTCATTTGTCCATTATGTCTGTGGGATTAATTTTACTGATGGGTAAATTTGTCAACTGAAACGGTCTTGCTTTAAACTCCACCCACTGCCAAGTTTGTCCAAAGTGACGGATATACATAAGGAAACATCCTTTTTTATTTTATAAAACTAGAGCACTCAGGAGAAAAGTTTCAATCACAGTGATTTTATATAGAAACAAAGAAGATGAAGTTTATTTTTTGGTGGCAGTCACTTTAACTATCCCTCCCATCCCAGTGATTACTAGTGGCCACCGTGACAACAGTGCTATATAGAGAGACTACATTTCCACAGTGACCGCGGCTGGCTGTTTGCTTCCATTATTCCACCGCGATGCTCTCTGCTAATTGTGTGCTTGCTCTTTATTTGCAGATGAACAGGATGAAGACGCTGTAGCTGCAGTTGGAAAGGTACGTGTTTGTCAGTTTGATAGTTTGTGTATCTACACAGACAGGTTTTAATGTGCTATCCTTCCCAATCTGTCTCTAGGAGGAGGATGATCCAAGCAGAGGAGATCAGAGCAGAATGATTGACAATGGCGAAGATAATGTGACAGAGCAGACAAACCATATCATCATCCCAAGCTATGCAGCGTGGTTTGATTATAACAGGTACGTTGGTCGTCATGCTCCTGCCACGTGCTGGACCTCCAGGTGTCCATCCTGGTTATTTTCACACCTTCCCGGGGAATTGCTCTGCATAGTGTCACTAATGTTTAGCAATTGGCAACGTTTTTTTCCTTTAAACTCTGCAAACAACTTGTGGCTTCAATTCATTCCCTTGTATTATGGATTTTGTACTTGGTTTGATTTGCTTGCATGCATTTTTCTTTTCCAGCATTCATGTGATTGAACGACGGGCTCTCCCGGAATTCTTTAATGGAAAGAATAAATCAAAGACCCCGGAAATGTGAGTGCCCTCAGCAGTTCTGTTACACTGATAGAATCGCAGACTGACAAAACTGTTTGATTAAATCATGTAATATTGTCTGTGTATGACTAAATAAAATGACTGTTGTGCATTACCATTGTACCTGAAATTCCTTAAAGGACACAAACTCGAGAAATTCCCAGCTTGGCCTGTAAATTAGCTCAGTCAGTTGTCCATTTTTGCAGATACCTTTAGCGATGGACACAGTTGTAAACATGGCTTTTTAAAAAGAAAACAAAAAAAACGCTTGGGTTGAGTCAGAAATGCAGTTGTGTTCTCTCTACCCCAAATGCTTTCTCAAAAACTTAATTCCATTTAACTGCAGATAATTTAGAATGCGGAATATAAATGATTTACCCTAGTCAGGCAATACCTTTTATGGGTTATATATTTTAAACTCACTTTAATGAAGGGGTTGTTCAATCATTTGATAAATTAAATAATTATATAATGGTTTACTGATTTTTATTGTCAATCGTGTTTGAATTGTTTTTTTTTTTCTCTTCTAATTTGCTCAGATACCTGGCGTACCGTAACTTCATTATAGACACATACCGTCTGAACCCTCAGGAGTACTTGACAAGCACAGCGTGCAGGCGGAATCTAACTGGCGATGTTTGCGCAGTGATGAGGTCAGCAGATGTTTCTTTGTTTCATTGCAAGAATGTTTAGGTTAAAAAAAGTGATCTGCTTGTTTGGTGTTTTTTTTTTTTTTTTTTTTTTTTTTTTTTAATTTTTTTTTTTTTTTTTTGTTTTTTTTATTACAGAGTGCATGCTTTCTTGGAACAGTGGGGCCTGGTTAATTACCAAGTGGATGCAGACTCACGCCCCATGGCTATGGGTCCTCCCCCGACCCCTCACTTTAATGTACTTGCTGATACACCCTCTGGATTGGTGCCTCTACATATGAGGACTCCTCAGGTATAAGACTTGCATTAACTAGCAGTGTCTGTTTCTTCACTTGTTGTAGATACTATAAACTCAAGTATGTTTTGCTTTGTCAGGTACCATCTGCTCAACAGATGTTACATTTTCCTGAGAAGAACAAAGATAAGCCCACAGACCTTCAGAACTTTGGCCTTCGCACTGATGTATATTCTAAAAAGACTTTGGCAAAGGTAAGAGCTGTAACGTAACCTCTCCCTAGTATCTCCTTGGCAGGATCCATAGAATGCCCTCTAACCCAGTCCCTACACTGGCAAGATCCATAGAATGCCCTGTAACCCAGTCCCTACACTAGTAGGATCTATAGAATGCCCTGTAACCCAGTCTCTACACTGACAGGATCCATAGAATATACCTCTGCTTATGTGCCTTCTGATCTCTTAAACAGAGCAAAGCCGGCAGTGCTGGAAGGGAATGGACGGAACAAGAGACGCTGCTGCTGCTTGAGGTGAGACTCTTAATTGCAGCCTTTATTCTCTGAAAGTGATTCACATAGAAGTTTGTATTTGTAAAAACAGCCAAGTAGTGCTTAGATGAGATCTCTCCACAATTGCCGTTGTATGATGTAACCGGTTTTAGCATGGTGACTCTTTCAGATATATTTTTATCCATTATAAAATAATTTTTAGCCATTTCCCTGTGTGGTAGTGGGGTTTTCACAGCGCAGGGCATGCCATGTTCTACATTAGTTTTGTTTGGATTGCTGCCGGTAGCCTGATTAAAATAATCTGCTTTTTTCCAGCCACATCTAGAACTGTTGAAATGGCACTGGACCACAAAATGTAGAGACCTTTAAAAATGATATTAATTTATTTTATCATGAAACAGACAAATTTTAGATCTTAGTTAGTAATGTGTCCATTGCACCAAATTCCAATATCTACAGTTTCTTTGTAATGTAGAGCAATGTGTGAAGTGCTGCCCAGCACTACATAAAATACACAAGTTACTTCAAGGAATTCGGTTTGTCCTGTTTTCCTTTGTGGTGTGCTCAGCAGGCAGATGTCTATTAATCTTCCCTCTTGTGTATTAACCTAAATCCTATGTTTGTAGGCCTTGGAAATGTATAAAGATGATTGGAATAAGGTGTCTGAACATGTCGGGAGTCGCACTCAGGACGAATGCATTCTCCACTTCCTACGACTGCCCATCGAGGACCCATACCTGGAGAACTCGAACGCGTCACTCGGACCTCTGGCCTACCAGCCAGTCCCATTCAGCCAGTCTGGGAACCCAGTCATGAGCACGGTTGCTTTCTTGGCCTCCGTTGTTGATCCCAGAGTAGCAGCTGCTGCGGCCAAGGCAGCTTTAGGTACTGATTGAAGGGTTAAAATGCTCTCAGATTATACACAAGGCTTTCCTGATAAACTGATGTTAAATCAGCCTGAGCTTTTATAAATGCAAACTAGACGGTACAATTTGTGTCGTTACAATCTGTATGTATTGCCATTAAGAATTGTATGGAAATGTGTTTTAACTCCTTGGAGAGCTGTGTATTGTAACAAGAATATAATTGTGATAACCCATAGATAGAATGAGTTCTGTCTGCATGATATGATCGTTTTATGACCGTGCTTGTCTTTGCAGTGCTGGTTTGACGGCTCTTTCATAATGTGCTCTCAGAGCTTGTTGCTATTAGGTAGGAATGCAAATACATTGTAAATAAGCCAAATGGATTCTCGTTACCTGGGTGAGAACATCTTGTTGCAGAGTGTTTGCCTATACATCTAATGCCTTATTGTGTTTTTTCACTCTTAACTGATGTAATCTCTCTGCTCCCCAGAGGAATTCTCCCGTGTACGTGAGGAGGTGCCACTGGAACTGGTTGAAGCACATGTTAAAAAAGTTCAGGAAGCAGCTAAAGTGCTGGGCAAAGTAGATCCCACCTATGGGCTGGAGAGCAGCTGTATCGCTGGCACTGGTCCAGATGAGCCGGAAAAGACAGGTAAGCTGTAGGTCGAAACATACCCAAATGTACAGGAAGCACCCTATTTAAATATCTGGGACATACAATATCATTGCATAACTGGGTTTAGGTATAAAAATGGAACTGTTTCCTTACACCAAGTATGATCTGTTTTACATGTTGCTGCCTGCATGGATCGGCTTTATACAGAAAAATCATTAAAAGGCCCTTATGTGGGATTATACCCTATGTCTTTTTAAAAAAGTAAATAGGTTGGCAATATACATCTAATAATGGCGTCACATAAAATGAGACATCGACTTTTGTAACAAAGTAAAAGAATGCGTTCTGCAACAGAAATATAGTGAATGAATGCACATTTCATGTGAGGTGCACAGCTCCAAAATATGTTTTAGACACCAAGACCCTAATCGGTATTTAGGTGTAAATTTATGGCAGCCAAACTGTGCCTGTAGCTTCTTTAAAAAAAAAAAAAAAAATTATATATATTTTGAATTAACTCTGTGTATTTCAGTTCCATCCAGTTGAGGTTTAGTGAATATCCCAGGTGTAACCATGTTGGGTCTAATCCATCCTCCCCACCCAGAGTATCACTGTGTTATTACTGTCTGATACCTGAGATATTGTCAATCGATCGGTGGAGAACTTAAATTGCATTTTTTTCATGCTTTTTTTGTTTTTTTTGTTTTGTTTTGTAGTGGAGCCTGCTGAAGAAGAGAAGATGGAAACGGAGGCTCCTGTGGCCCCACAAGCTGATAAAGTGAGTATATCATGTGCCTGTCGCATGTCACGCTGACTGGGTGCTCTGTATTACTCTGGGTTTTATCGTGTAATTAAAGGGGAGTCCATTCATCAAGTATTGCAAGGAATTCTTGCAATAGAAAATGAGAAACACGTGTATTTTTAGTGATCCTTTAGCCATATACAAAATATATAAAATTTTCTTCAAGTCTCAAAGAATGACATCTTGTCCTCTGTACCGTCCTCTGTATATGAGCAGACTGCCATATAGCTGTTTATGTTGTATGTGTTTGTATCTAGAAATAGGAAAAAGTTAGTATGAGAATGTGACAAGCTACATAATTAAATGGAAAATAAAACTTGTAAAACTTGTGGGAATATAATGTTATCAGGGTTTGTTTTGTTTTGTTATCTGGGATGTGTGTCGGTTAAACTATATTATTAGTTCTCTGTTAGAAACTCATTATTGTTTCTCTAAAATCATGGCAGTTGGATGTCTGATTCGGAGTTGGTGGCCTTGTTTTAATGTTTTTTTTTTTTTTTATTTTGGGTGGGTTTCAGGGTGAGGTGAAAAATGAGAAGACGAGTGAAGCTGAGCCCTGCGAGAAAGCTGAAGGAGCGGCTGAGAAAAACCCAGAGGAAGAGGAAACAGAACCCACGGAGGAGGAGAAGCCAGGTATATTTTCAGTGTCCTGTATGTGGCCCAGACTTTAAAGAACTTTGCTGTGTCTTGGTATTTTGTGGCTTTATTTACCCAATAAGGACCCAGAAACCGTTTCGACATTGATGGTTCCTCAAAGCTTAAAGACCGCAAGTTCAAAACTGTTGCCGGTTCTTTGAATGAATAAAAGCGCAAGCTGTGTTTCTCGGTTCCCCAGTCTGTACATTGTGACATGTTCCCCAGTCTGTACATTGTGACATGTTCCCCAGTCTGTACATTGTGACATGTTCCCCAGTCTGTACATTGTGACATGTTTCCGTTAAATTAGCATTCTTAGAGTGCTGATTCTCATATCCCAGTCGCTCTATTCATGTTCTGTTTTCTAGAAGACGAAGAAACTGAAGATAACAAGGAGAATGTTGAGGCATCCAAGGAGTGCGATCCAGTGAAGAAGAAGATAGAAAATGATATTTCCGAAGGAAATGTAGCAATGGCTGCTGCAGCTGCTCTCGCCTCTGCAGCTACAAAAGCAAAGGTTAGTGATGTCTGGGCTGCTGTGGGTGGGAGTATATGCACAGGTGGTAAGGGTCAGGAATAATTAGGAGCAGTAGACTGGCATGGTAATATGGATTGGGCGTTGTTGGGGACCGTATGGTAAAATGAGATGCGGGTGGTACGGTGACATGGTCCAGGCATGGTTAAAGGTGGACCTACGAGTCAAGGATGGTATGGTGATATGGATTAGGCGTGGTTGGGGCAGTTAGATTAGTATGGTGATATGATATAGATTGGGCGTGGTTGGGTCAGTTAGGGTGATATAGATTGGGCGTGGTTGGGGCAGTTAGGGTGATATTGTAATATGGATTGAGGTTGGTTGGGGCAGTTAGGGTAGTAAAGTGATATGGATTGGGCATGGTGTGGGCAATATAGGGGTTACATGGTGATATGCTATATTTGTTTGTGCTCTGTAGCATCTAGCAGCAGTAGAAGAACGCAAGATCAAGTCCCTTGTGGCCCTGCTGGTGGAAACTCAAATGAAGAAACTGGAAATCAAGTTACGGCATTTTGAGGAGCTTGAAACCATCATGGACCGAGAAAAGGAAGCTGTAAGTGTCTTCAAACTCCCGTTTGGGCATTGAGAGAGGGTATTTGGTTTAATGCAGCATGATTTGTGATCATTATCCCCCTTTGTCGCCTGACCGTTTCAGTCACCCACGTTCAGTCATTAGCACTGTGTGTTTCTTTTAAATTATGTTTTGGGGCTCAAGGAATAATCTGACTTTTAAATGTTTGTCTCTTTTACAAAAACATGATTTTAGAATTGCCAGTGTTCTGTATTAAATTGTTTCCTTTCACGTCGTCCAACTAAAATGACAAAACTCCCCCCCTTTCAATCACTAAATATTCCTGACTGTAAGCATGCAGGGTGCCTGTTTTAGGTCTCTGTTCTGTTTCCCCAAGCATTGTCCACCACCTGGGATCCCCTGATTTGGGATCTGGAGTAGTTAGCCCTTGTCTTTTTATAGGTTTGATCAGCTAGCTGTGTATGTCCCTTCCATTGAGATATTAAATACTATGTTTGCAGATTTCTTTCCATATGATAGTTTTCAAGTCAGATTTACCGGCCTATTGTTTAATCATTATTCCAATTCCCTGCAAACCGTTTGATCTGCTGCCAAAATACAAACCTTTATCATCCAAGTAAGTTTGAAGGAAGTGAACAGTCCCTTACTCTGGTGTAGCTGTGAAATGAGAAGGAGGTCTGAAAATAATCAATTACTATAAACATAACAAAAATGGACGAGTTTTCTTATTTGATATTGCAGTTACATTCACCCACCAGCAAGCGTGTCCTTACCTTTTACTAGCTCTGCATAGGGCAGAGGTGCCCAAAAGGTAAAATTGTAAAACTGCAACTCCCCTGCCTTAGAATGGCAAAGCACCGTGGAAGCTGTAGTTTTAAAACAACTGGGGATCTACCTTTTGGGAACCCCATGGTTTAACTCTGAGATATGGTGATGCTTTCCATGGTCCCTTCCAAGGAGTGTGACATGTTGCCGAGGCTAGTGACCTACTTTTTTAGTTAAGTCTGGCATCATGTACTAAAGGTTTGGAAATACTGGATCTCTGATCCTCCTGCATTCCTTTCTGTTTTTACTATACTGTATCTGTCTTGTGCAGCTGGAACAACAGAGACAGCAGCTACTGAATGAACGCCAGAACTTCCACATGGAGCAGCTGAAATACGCCGAAATGAGAGCACGTCAGCAGATGGAGCAGCAGCACGGACACAACGCACAGCACCAGGCGGGCACCACTGGACCAAGCATGGGTCACATGGGGTCACCAGCCCTTCCTGGAATCATGGGGCAGCAGCAACAGCCCCCACCCTATGCAGTGCATCACCCAATGCCACCACCCCATCCATCACAGACAGGTAAGATCTCTACCCAACGCGGTGGGACATCACGGGAGACAGTGGTCAGAATTTAGATGCATTTATAGAAGCTGCTTTTGTAGTGCTTTGACTGTAGGCTACATGGAGATTTACTAGCTCACTGCAGAATGGTGCTCATTCAAAGGGATATCACATCATTTTTACTTTCAACAAAACTTCCAATATGATTTCTGAAAAAAGTAACGTCCATTTCTTAAAAAAAAAAAAAAAAAGTTAGCATCTGTAAATAAAAGTAGTTACACATGGCTGAGACGTTAGTTCTGGGTTTTGTTTTATATTGTGCCCCCTCATTCTATTGGTATGCCCCCTGGCAGTGAGTTCAGGCTGCCATAAAACTTCTTTACTTCAGTATTGCAGACTCAGCCATAGCACAGCGGGATCCTTTGACACTTTTTATGCTGTCATCCTGGAACATGTAAACTAAGCTGCTCTGCCACTGCAGTCCGCTGGCACTCTCTTCCTTCACAGTGATCTTATTGATCCTGTGCAGCTTAACAATTACTTCCCGAGCAGGCCAAGCTCACAGAGGCCAATATACAGTTTGTCTTAACTGGATCAGAGCTTCCAGGATCCACTGTGCTTTTCTGGGCAGGTCACTTCTTCTGTTCCTGGGCTGTACAGGAAGTGTTTTGTAACATCTATCAGGAATGACATACAGTCAGGAAAGAGCCAAGAAGAACGGCCTTGATTAGCTCACGGACATCCTTCTTGCAGCATATTAATGGTTTCCCCCTGTAGCTATGGCAGTGTCCCACATGAGAGAAGTCCTATGTCTAGCAAATGATTATGGTCCTGCAATCCTTACCCTCACTGTGACTGAAGACTGGTGTCTATCCATGAGACACAGCTGATGTTGTTATAGGTGTATGAGCTCCAGCATTGGCTTTGAGTTTTCAGCCATTCTGGAATTGAAGAGCACTCTTTACTCTTGGAACAATTTGTTTCATAAAAGTGCTTTGCTGCCCACCGCACAGCTTCACATTGTGGGCCCACAGCAAAGCAACCATTCAGATCGCCAAGTGCAGCAGATCCCATGCGAGCGCTCAGTCGAGCCCAAAAGGCTATAAAGATTCCAGAGATCATCAAAGCACTGTAGAGGCAGCTAAATTTATGGGGTATGATCTTCGAAAATCTACCATTAAAGTAGGTCAAATGCCGAAGCTCGCTCAAGATGCGTCTGTCCAGCATAGCAGTTAGGTCCCGCCTTTTCAGTGTTTTAATGTTAATAGAATTCTCTTATATCCTCTCTTAATGCTTGTATTTATTCATTTCCTGATCTCTTTCTAACTGGTTCGATTAATTTTGTCAATGAACTATTGTAGGTCAGATGCCTGGTCCAAGTTCCATTATGTCTGGACCTCCTGTGCCACCTCGTATGATGCCCAATATGCATCCACCTGGAGGACCTCACCCCCCTCCTCCAGCTGTACCACCAATGCCGAGCAACATCGCTGGACCGCGTGCACCTGTGGCTCCTAATGGCATGTGTAAGGCAACTGTTTTATTTACATGGTCTGCTTTTAGACATTGCCCAAACACAAATCCAGAGTATACAAAAAGTTTCATAAATTATAATGTGAGGATATCTCGCATAGCAAGTCTGTAGCCTTTTAAACAGAATACATTACGACAGATTGGCAGGTGTACCGCTATAATTATACATTTATATACATTATACACCATATAAATCATTTATATACATTAGAGGCCAAATGCAGTAACTGTATACCTTTATATACATTAGAGGCCAAATGCAGTAACTGTATACCTTTATATACATTAGAGGCCAAATGCAGTAACTGTATACCTTTATATACATTAGAGGCCAAATGCAGTAACTGTATACCTTTATATACATTAGATGCCATATGCAGTAACTGTATACCTTTATATACATTAGATGCCATATGCAGTAACTGTTAAGTAGTATAGCGGCATATCGAACGTTATGTAAAAAGTATGCAAACTGTTAATTAGTAGAGGTAATGAATGGATCTGAATGAAATGTACATAATGACTGCTCTAGTCCTCCTGCTCTGTACGATGGTGCTATAGAGCAGTCCATTAACCTAATGGTGGCTTTATTTTATGTACTCTATAGATTTAAAGATGAATTATTTTACTTTCTTGAAATTTAGAATTTTTCTCAATTTGTCTATTTTTTAGACTCTGGGCCTCCGCAGCAGCCGCAGCCTCAGCCTCCACCCCCCTCTGATGGACCAACTCCGCCTCCCATAGTGCCTCCCACCTCCTCGGCACCCTAAGGAAATTAAAGGAGATCTTCCTTCTCTCCACACAAGCAACTTCCACCATTACTAGCTTTACTTTTACCCCACAGAGGTTTTTTTTGTTTTTGGTTTTTTTTATACAGTGTCCTATTAATTGACCAAATTTATACGTACAAATCAAATCGCACATCAATTTTTATTATTTAAATTGCTCAAGTATTGAGTATTTATTGAAGAACAACTGCTTGAGTCTATATGTTCCAAGATTTTTTTTTTTTTTTTTTCATTTTCCCCAGAATGGTATTTCTAAGTTTTTGAGGATATATATTTGCTATTTTGCCTTTGGTTTGCATGTTTTCCTCTCCTGTTATTTGTAGTGTTCGTTATTTTGTAATAAAATCTCCTATAGTAAATGGGTGGTAAGCTTGTTTTGCTGGGAGTTAGGGATTTTGTATGATGGTACTCTGTCTCTGTAATGGAATGTGTCCTGTTCTCCAGAATGACTGCCTCTGGGTGCTGTCGAACTCTGCTCGAAGTTTGTTATATAAAAAACCCCAAAAATTTTGATGCAGTTTCTTGTTTTGTAGATGCTTTCCCATTGAATACAGTGTCTCCTTGTAGAGAAACTATCGTAATGGGATTTGTATGTCTGTTGGTCTGAAATCTACCTCTTAGGCAGGAAAAAGTGTCATTTTCTTTAGCTGTTGGGAGGGGGTGGCAGATGGGTCCCAAAAATTGAAGTTTCATACAGCTGCTTGTGTAGCCTGAAATCCAGGGCTCTCTATGGTCGGCCAGCAATCCCTTTGAGGGTCTGAATAATGAAGCATCGATATGCAATATAAGATTATAGTAGCCGGCTTCCCTGGGCTGTGATGGGGCCTACACGTCTCCTGAGAGCGGTGCGTATAGCATCACAGAATTTCATGCAGACAGCCCCACAAGTAGTTCTTGGACTTTAATTCCCTGAATTTCCCAAGAAAAACATTTTTTTTTCTTTACTAGAACATATGTACTCCCACCGTCAGGTGGCGGTTAACTCTATGGTATATAGAAATGTTCCATATGTGCACCTCTCGACCATAATAATACCTTCCCCCGTTTGGTCTGTAGTTCTGACGACACGCTGTATTAACACATTTTACAAAGTTGGCAACAAGTCCAAGAAATTCTAACCTGGAACCGGCAGAGAATCCCCCTTCATAGGTGGCTTTTACCAGATTAGGAAGTGCAGAGCTCTGTTCCATTAAATCTCTGGTTTATGGCTGCTCAGGTTTATTAAATCACCAACTAAAATATTTGAAAGTTACTTTTTTTTTTTTTACTGTTGATATTGGAAAAATAAAGCATTCTTAATATGACCTGCTAGACATGTCTCTCCTCTCGGTTATATGTATATGGACTCCTGGATCTCAGGCACTCGGATTCAGTAAATAATAAAATGTGGCTTCTTTTGTAAAAATGCTCTGCTCTGTGGTGTTTTTAATTCTGGAAACTATTTTTGCTGCTTCTATGTTTTAGTATTTGGGACCAGAATAAGAAAGTTTCAGTTAACAGAGATGTCACATTTTACAAGACAAATCGTCCCTTTGTAAAAGCCTTAACTCTCTCACATGCAGCAGTCTTACTTTCTATTGTAGGTTTATGTGATACGATGCTCCAATGGAATTAAAAGGATACTCACATCTATCAGGGCTCCTTGGAGTATTTAGGGTGCTATTTATTAAAGCTACAGCAAGCTTGCAATAGTTACTACAAATGAATGCCTGTCCCAGCCCTCTCAGGCAAGCATCTCAAGTCCCAAGTGAGTAGTACAGGTTCTCATGGTTTTCTATGAGTGTCACAATTGGCATTAATTTATGGGGGAAAAGACCATGAAATAAGGGATTGTCCCACATGAGAAACCACAAACTCATATCACCATATCCATCACCACTATTCCTGATAACTCATAACCCACTATTCAAACCAGGGAAAACTTACCAGGACTACCATACGACCCCCTACCTGACGTTGGGAGACCTAGTAGATTATGCCGGGGTTAAACCGCTGCACATCCTCCCAAACGAGACCCATTCCGCCCTACGAAAATTCCAATACAACAGGACCGGACGATATATAAATGAAGGGACCCTGGGCGTACACGACCTTTGAGCACCAATGTAGCACACACTATCAAAAGGAAACTGATTTCCGCCATGTACACATTACTCTCCACCACTCAACCCAAACACCTCCCGGTCTAAACATCGAGTTGGGAAAAATAACTTAATATCTCTCACAACCGTACAATGGCGCAAAATATTCAGGCTCATACACACCTTATCTCGCAACCTAGCAGCTCATGAGAGCAATTACAAAAGAATAGTCAGGTGGCACAAAACACCTGCAAAGCTCCTATCATTTGTTTCCACACACGACCAACCGCTGTTGGAGATGCCACCAACTAGATGGCAGCTCGGTGCACATGTGGTGGGCGTGCCTGGAGAGACAGAAGTTTTTGTTAAGGGTGGCAGGGCTAGTCCAAACAATCCTTGAAATAACAATACCCTTCAAACCTGAATCCTTTCTATTCCTCCTTCTCCCAAGTAACCTACCAAAAGCTAAGACCCCTGCTCCAACACCTAATAACAGCAGTGAACCAACTGATTCCACTGTTATGGAAGAAACCAAATTCACCATGCTCCTGCAGTTCCTTTAAAAGTGTTTAATAAAAAAATAGCGGTTGGAAATTCAAATTATGCTAACATAGTGTACTTATAATCTTAATTTTAGTAATTACAGGAGATGTCATATTTTGCATTATCTTTCTATCCTGGCTAATCATGGCAGCATCACTTATGGCTACCTCCTTCCCCAGCAGCCACAGGACAGGAATTAGATCAATTAATCAGTCTGTTATGTATGAAAGCTTTGTATTTCTCAAGCTATAGCAGCAGGCTTTAGGTCTCTTACTGAGAAGCTGTTGTCCTCTAAAAATTCTAGAACAGAAACTCGTTCCTTTGGAATTTTCAGGGAAAGATGAGGAGAAGGTAGATCATCATTCTAGATCCTTGGATTCCAGATTCATTGACAGACTCCTTAACCCTTCGACTCCCTGAAAAGAAATCAGATACTGAAGCAGACAGATATTTAGAAGAACTTAAGTCTAATAGGACTAGGGCTCCGCTACAGGGTCTAAAAGAGATTCTCCTCCACTGGTACACCAAAATACAGTCAGGAACAAGCAATACAATCCAAGAATCTCCCACCTCATCCCTAGAAACTGGACGACACTCAGCTCTGGAGGTATAACTGAATTTTATTGACACATACACGGTTTTTATGCCCAGTGCCATGCAAGGGGTTTCACAAGCAGAAAATGCAGGGGATTCAATCCCAAGATCCTCTGTGCCTGAGAGATAATTGCCTGAGTAAACTCCTCTAATTTAATTTATCTCCCAGGCACAGATAATCCGCAAAAGTACCCCAACCATACATAGGAACAACACAAACACATTCCCCGATAGCCCAGATCTGAGTGACCAACATATCCATGAATCACTCAGATCGGTTTGGCAGAACGGGAACGCCACCACGAAAATAGTTCCAGAGAAATAGGTGTCCTGGCCGATCGCTGTTCTCTCTAGCTTTCAGGGTATGAATGCTCCCCCTGTTTGGTAATACAAATCTCCCGAACGCCATTCGTTTAGGTAGTCTGGAACCGGAAAGAGTTCCAGGCACTCAACGACCAAGTACCGCTGCCCTTGTTCTCTCTGCCATGTGTTCTGTTATACGAAATGGCGGCCACCCAGGGGAAGCGCACAGTAATTGTTTCCCTTGTGGTTTTGCACTTTAGTTGTTGGTGTCAACGTTCTAATGGGGCACAAAGGGTGGTTCTCGTTCAGGAGATGAATATATTCCGTTCGTCTGAAGTCTCCCGAACGGCCAAAAAGGCATGGAGAAAGCACAGTACTGTAAAGGGGGAGGGCAGGGTACAGACAGCCAATAAAGGTAGCATGTAAGTGTCCATTCCGCTACAGACCCACTTTCCCTGTTCATTCTGCTAACAATACATTAAAGTCCAAGAATGGAGCAAGCTAGAAAAGAAATCCGCTCTTAAGAGTAAGGCCACTAGGGTATATCCCTATTCTCCCAGTGATTGCAAATCCTGGAATTCTATGCCTAAAATAGATGCTGCAGTTATTCGAATGCCAAAAAAGAAAAACTCTGCTTATTGATTCTATGGCGTACTTAAGAGAACCGATGGGAAAGCGAATGGACATGGACATTATGAAAACCTAGGTTACTTAATCCACCAATCAGAGAGTTATGAGTCAAATTACACACCGTGGGAAAAATTCAAAGAACTTTCCCACGCTGTGTAAAATGACAGAGCACTCTGGTGGATTTCAAACCAACCAATCAGAGTGCTGGGACAAATGTAGAGACTTACCTGTCAGTCTCTTCATTTACCTGTCAGAGCACTCTGATTGGATGGCTTACACCCACCAATCAGAGTGCTCTGAGCCTAATGGCAGGGTAGGGAAAGGCTTTATAAGCCTTCCCCGCCCTGCAGAGCTCAGTCTGCGTGGAGCCCTTGCGGGTGAAGATGGATTAATATTTTTTTGCTCTCTGTTTTTTTTTTAAAGTGCGTCGGTTATTATGGTTTTTTATTTGGCCTTTTTTGAGGCTGAAAAAAGAAGATTTTAGAAGAAAGAAAACATCGAATGGTAAGTTTTTTTTTTTTTTACAGGTGCTTAGTTAAAGGTCCCCCCCTCGTTATTTTTAGGTTGAGGGGGTTAGGTAGGAGGTTAATTTTTTTGGGGGGGAGAGGATGACTAGGGGCTTGGGGACCCCTAGTCACCTGGGAGGGGGGGGGGGTTAAAAAAATTTTTAGGGCCACCATCCGCCGCTCAGGGGTTGGGCCCGGGGGGAGGACAATAGGTCCCCCCTATTGGTATTTAGGGTCCCCACCCACCACTCAGGGGTGGGGGCCAGGGGGGAGGACCTTAGGTCCCCCCCTTATTAGTATTTAGGGCCAGGGGGAGGACCTTAGC